AAATGTTTATCAGTCACCTAATATATGCCAGGCACTGTTCCAGGCCCTAGGGCACAGTGAGAACAACAGTGTTCCTGCTCTCACGTGGCTGGCACCCACCTCCTTCGCAGCCATCCACACACCTGTCTGTCCATCCACCCATCCATCCATGCATCCATCCCTCCATGTATCCATCCATCCACCCATCCATCCACCCATCCATCCATGCATCCTTCCATCCATGCATCTGTCCATCCATCCATCCGTCCATCCATCCACCCATCCATCCATCCACCCACCTATCCATGCATCCATCTATCCATCCATCCACCCACCTATCCACGCATCCATCCATCCACCCACCTATCCACCCATCCATCCACCCACCTATCCATCCATCCATCCACCCATCCATCCATCCATCTGTCCACCCATCCATCCGTCCATCCGCCCATCCATCCATCTGTACATCTGTCTGTCTGCCCATCTGTCCATGCCCCCAACTCATCTGTCCCACCAGTGTTTACTGAGCACTTACTTTGTGCCAGGCCCTGATGAGGACTGAAAGGCAGTCCCTGCCCTCGGGGAGGCAGACAGGTGAACAGGCAGCTACAACCTCATGTGGTCAGTACCAGGATGGGGGTAAACAGGGTTGGGGAGGACTTTCTGGGAGGGGAGCATTTGGCTGGCCCTGGAAGATGTCTCATGCCAGGGTGCCCCCCGAAACCCTGCTCAGCCACCAAGGCCAAGTTGGCTGGATTCTAACAGGCCTGACCTCTCTGTCCACACCTGGCCCCACGGTTCAGATGAGGTGGCCAGGCTGCCAGTGGAGAGGTCGTTGCTTTATGCGTGCAGAGCACAAATTCCAAGCCAGCTCAGGTGGGCAGGGCGGGAAAGGCGCTAGCCATGTCCATATCATAAAGTCCTAAGCCCCACAGAGAGAAGGGAATTGGCCCCAGACCACACAGCGTGTGGGACAGCAGGCTCTGCCCCCATTGGCCCAGGCAGCGCCCACCCCAGCTGCAGTAATGGGAATCAGCTGCTGCCACCCTGCTGTGCCCCTCCCTCCTGCCAGGGAAGCCCTGGTACACAGAGCTTCCCAGCCAACCCCCCACCTCCACTCCTACCAGTAGTGGCCACTCACCCAGAAGCTGCTGAGCCAGGACACTCACTGGGCCATCCAGCCAGGCTACCGCCCCTTAGGAAGCCCACGGGTACCTGGCATCTGGGGGCTCCAGCACTCCTGCGTCTGTGCCAGACAAGGACGGGGGCTCAGAAAGGTGCCAGGTTTGCCGAGGCCCCCACACCCCTCTTCCTGACCACTTTGCTGGGGGTCCTGGGACACTGCTGCCCTCTCTGGGATCTGCCACTGGGCTGGAGGAGGCTGGGTCCCGGGACACTGAGCGGGGACGATGGGTGGATGCACCTCAGATGACTTCCTGCCGAGTTAATGGGTCACCCATTACGTCTGCACAGATCTTCCAGGACTCTGCAGGAAGGCAGGCCTGAGGTAACCCCCAAAACCACCCCGGGGGAAAGCAGGCACATGGTCGCCTCAAAGCCAGCCCCAAGGCAAGGGCAGACCAGCCCATGGCTTCCAGGACCTGATGGTGCTGACCCAGCAGGAGATCCCAGGCTGAGCCCCCGGCAGGGAAAGGGATCCTGAAGCCAGATGGGGACATAACACTGCCTCTGAGCCTGATGCAGGCAGGGGAGGTGGGGTGGGGCCCCCCTCATCATGTGAGTCCCCAGCCCCTCGGGCCAGCTCCCCACTTGACCTCAAACTCCACAGGCAGGTCTCTCAAGCCGTTCAGGCCTCCACTGTCCAGGAGCCCTAAACCTGGGTTGGTGGGGGGGCCCTGCTGAGGGGAGGTCGGCGGCCCAGGAAGCAGGAAACCCATGTCCCTGGGCCAGAGGGCCAGGTTGCTCACTGTGTCCGCCCAACTACCCATGAGCACCTCATAAAGTGGACAGTAATGTCATCCTCATGGTACAGGTGGGGAAACTGAGGCTCAGAGGAGTGATGTTATGAGTTCAAGGTCTTAAAGCTGAGAAATGGTCCCTCTGGAATGGAAAGGCAAGCGGTCTGGCTGAGCCCTGGGACAGCCTCTATCCCCAGTCCCCTGCCAGAGGACCCTAAGGCCCCAAGCAGCTTCCCCAGCAACCTGGTCAGCCCTCTCCAGCCCCTCCCCAGCTCCCCATTTCCTGTCCTGGGCAGTTTGGCCCACTGGGTCCCTGGAGGGAGCCTTTGGGTCTAGGAGGGGGAGGGGAGTGCCTCAGGGTAAAGCTGAGCCTCCTTGGGAAGGGGGGGGCGCCTAGACCAGCCACCCCCCTACAGTTTTCAGACCTCAAGGAGTCACCACGAAATTCCATTCTCCTGACAGCAAAGAAATTGATTCACTCTTGCCAAAGCCAGCGGCCCCCACAAGAATGCTGTAAGGCCTTGTCCTGCAGTTCCCAGACAGGCAGCTGCACCCGGGCCCCCACTCCACCAAGCCTGGCTGCGAAGAGATGCAGGAACCCCCCCGCCCCTGCCCCCAGCTCCATGCATGTGCCCCTGCCAGGCTGCGCACCACCCTCTGCACGGCTACCCCTTAGCACCATGCAGCCGTCCCCTCTGAGCCTCAGCTTGCTGTCTGTATGATGGGCACACCACTTCAACCGCCTGCGGGTCAAAGGCACCGCGGCCAGGTGGGCCGGGCAGCAGGAGAGCCCAGCGCAACAGCAGGGGTTGGGGGGCTTGGGACAGGAGGGACCATGGAGAGGCTGACTCACAGGCCGTTGCCAGGTGGGAGACGGGTGGCTGCTGACGGCTCTCGCTAGACGCTCAGCACCTGCCCACTAAGGATGCCAGAGACGAGCTCCAGGTACAGGGCACAGCTGACACGAAGACTTGGGGGCTTGGCCACGCTTGCGCTGCTGGGGGATGAGGAGGCTTGCAGGCAGCAGCAAGCCACAGGCCAGGACTAGGTCACGAGGTGCGTGGGCACCAAGCTGGGACTTGGACTTGCAGGCAAGGGTGAGCCATGGAGGATTCCGCGCTATGGGTGTGCGTGGCGGGGGTGGTTATGCTTGGGGTTGTCTGATCGCTGCACGGAGAATAAATAGAGCAGGTAGGCTGGGGACAAGGAGACCGGGCGGAGGCTGCCCACGTGGGCCAGAGGAGAGACGATGGCACTGGAGGGACTCCGTCTCAAAACGGTCCAGATATGGGTAGACATCGGTTGGTGGGGGTGGCAGTGAAGGACACGGGCTGAGGGGGCATGGAGACCCTTCAGGCCTGAGGCCGGGGTTGGGCTGGGGCTCAGCTGCTCCAGGGCAGCCAACCCAGCCACTGGGCTCTTCTCGTTCCTGTCCACCCCCAAGCCTCCCTGGCTGCCTAGAGGTTCCAGGGCTAGGGTCTGGCTGATGGGGGAGGGGTTTATGGCAGGAGGTGACGCCATGGGAGACTTGTCACTTGGGCACAGCCAGCACCATCTGCTCAGGCATCTGCCTGCCCGAGGTGGTGCTGGCTAATTACCTGGGGCGGGCAGGAAAGGGCCTGGGAACCCCCATCCCCCACCCCGCCCATCGCACAGGGACTAGGGTGGGGCCCCCAGGGCCCTAAGAGCAAATGGGCCACAGCCCCCTTGTCGGGGGTCTGGCGGTGGGGCCAGGCGTTCATTCAATAGATCTTTACAGAGCACCTCCTCTGTGGGAAGACTTGTCCAGGTCAGCATTACTGGAGGTGGCTGCTGTCCTGTGGTTGACGTTCAGGCAGAAGGAGGGAGAGGCGCAACAGAGTGGCATGTAAATGACTGAAAATGCCTTTTCAGGTGTGAAGATAACGGGCCGGGGGCAAAGCCCAGGGGGAACCAGGTTAGCCATGGTGGTCGCAGAGAACCGCCTTAGCAGGGGACGCGGGAGCTGTGGCCAGACGGGAAGGAGGCGCAGCCGAGCGCAGAGTCGCCCTCTCCACGCTTCCGGAAGACGCGAGGCGGGGGGCTAGCACCCTGCTCCGAGGGACCCTTGGCCACTTCCGGGCCCCTAGCCCCTCACCCCGGCTGCGAGGGCGCATTCCTGCCGCCCCCGCTCGTGCGGGGGTCCGCCGGCCCGTGGGAAGGGCCGGAGGAGGGGGCTGAATGCCGGGGAGGCGGGGCAGGGAGGATGCACAGCTGGGCCACATCTGGGCCAGGCGCGGAGGGACCAAATGGGGCAGAAGGCGGCCTTTCATCCTGTCAAGGAACAGGCGGCCTTGCCTTCTCCTCGCCCCGGGGTGCCTGAGGATTTTGGGGGACCAACCCGCCGACGTAGGGCCGGGACTCGAGGAAATTAGCCCGGAGGAAAGGGGTGGAATTTGGTACAGGCGCTTTCTCGGTATAACCTCGTGTCCCCACCTGTGGCACAGGTGACCAAACTCCCGGTCTGTATCAATAACGGACCCTGAGCCAGGAGCTCAAGACGAGCCGGGCGCCGCCCCAGTATGCCTGCCTGCCCCGTCCCGAGGGGAGGAGGCCGGGCGCTGGGAGGGGAAGTCCACATCCAGGAAGTAGGGGTGTCCCCTGCGGTGCGCCTGAGCCCGGGCCCAGGTCCCAGGACCCGGTCCACAGCGCCGAGGGCGTGCCCCTCCGCGTGCCGGACGCCCGGTGCATCCCCGGCGGGCGCTGGCCAGCCCGGGTTTCCCCTTCGGGGCCAAGGCAATGGCCCGGCCCACAGCCCGACGGCCCAGGCGGCCCCCAGGGGCGACCCGGGCGGGGCGGGGTGTGCACGTGCGCGGGGGCGGGGCGGGGCTGTTGGGCCCGCCCGGCGGTTCCCAGCCCCCTGCCGCGGCCCCACGTGGGCCGACCGGCCCCGAGGGGCTCCCCGCGCGAGGCCCCGCCCCAGGCCGAGGAGCCAGTGAGCACGCGGGGGCGGGGCCGGGGCGGGGAGGTTTAAGAGGGCCGAGCGAGGGCGGCGCACAGCTGGACGGCGCCGCAGAGCGCGGGCCTGGGCGCGGGTGCTGGTAGGGCGCACCGGGCGCACCGCGCTGCCGCCTCCCCACCATGCTCAAGCGCTGCGGCCGACGCCTGCTGCTGGCGCTGGCGGGCGCGCTGCTCGCCTGCCTGCTGGTGCTCACCGCAGACCCGCCGCCGCCCCCGCTGCCTGAGCGCGGCCGGCGCGCGCTGCGCAGCCTGGCCGGCCCCGCGGGGGCGGCCCCAGTGCCCGGGCTGGGGGCGGCGGCGGCGCCCGGGGCGCTGGCCCGCGAGGTGCACAGCCTGTCCCAGTACTTCAGCCTGCTGACCCGCGCGCGCAGAGACGCGGCCCCGCCGTCCAGGGCCGCCTCCCGCCCCGCCGATGGCCACCCGCGGCCTCCGGCCGAGCCGCTCGCGCCCCGCGACGTCTTCATCGCGGTCAAGACTACCAAAAAGTTTCACCGCGCGCGCCTAGATTTGTTGCTGGAGACCTGGATCTCGCGCCACAAGGAGATGGTGAGCCCCGGCGGCCTGGGCGGGAGGGTAGGGTGGGGACACACCGTCTTGTCCAGCTGGTGGCAGCGTCCCTTGGGGGCCAGGCTGCATCCCTGTCCAGCTGCTGGGGCTCTCTGGGGCGCGACGCCAGTCCTTTCCCTGGGAGCCCACTCTGCCTGCCGGGGCCACTCTCCCCACACCGTTGTGTCCGAGGGGCCCCACCACCAGGCAAACCCCAGAGTCCCGGATGGCTGCAGTGACAGACATCAGTCTCTAGGGCTTGGAGTTGGTGCCCTGTAATGCTTCTTGCTCCCAAACGCTGGAGCGCATTAATAGGGCGTTACTGTCCCCAAACCTGCTTGGGTGTGTTATGGAGCATCCACCGTGGGCTCAGACCCCCATCTGGGGAGGAAGGCTCTTCCCTTAGAGGTGACGTGAGGGGTTAAGACCCATGGGCCAGTCCCCAACCTCATCCCAGTTTGCTAGGGTATGGGGGACTGGCCACTGCTGGTTGGTGGGCCAGAGGGAGGACATCTCAAAGAGCCTGGGTTTTGGGGTCTGTGTGGAGACCCCGTCCCCCACAGCACAAGAGTTTCTGAGGCCTGGAAGCTTGTGCTCTGTACGGCCCATTTGAGCATCAGCTTTTTGCAAGTGCATAATAAAGACACACCCCACTTTGAAAATTTCCCTTGAGGCTACATCAGGACGGTTGAGTTGGGGTGGGATGGGGACAGAGTGTGGGCTCTGTGTGCAGTGGGGAGGGATATCTCCAGCCTGGGAGGTGCAGGGGCAGTTGGTGTGAGGGGGGTCTTGGAGAAGACCCTGCGCCCCTTTCTCCTTGTTCAGACCTGACGGACCCAGGGCCTCTGGCCTGTCTGAGCCCGTTTGGAGCAGGTAGAGATTGGGAGCAGGGCCCCGTGGAGGTCAGGGTCCTGTCTGGTCCTGGTGTGGGGAGGGGGCCCTGGGAACCCCATGGCAGTCTCCTGGGAACACAGCGTCCCTTTCCCAGGGGCTCAGCGGGCCAGAGGGAGGGGGCGGCGGGGGCCGTCGGTTTTGTTTGGCTGCTGGGCCGTTAGGATTCCCAGCGCCGGGCGGCTCTCACGCCGGCCCCTTGGGCAAGGTAACAAAGCCCCTTTCTCCAGGCGAGAAAGGCGTCGGGCCTCTTGTGTGCAGTTATGCGCTCCATGGGAACCGCCGCTGGCGCGCTGACCACTCAGGTTGCCTGGCGATGAGGGAGCCTGTGGCCCCCCCAACATCCCTGACTGACAGCCCTTGTGGGGCACCAGCCATGAGCCAGCCCCTTCTTCCCCCAGCACTCAGCCTTCCTGCTGTGTGACTTTGGGCATCATTCAGCCTCCTCTGGGCTGCCACCAGCTCTGAGCACCTTGCATCGTAGCATTTTGGACCTTTCTCCAACAAAAGGGATATGGTCAGGGGTCTCAGGTAGCAGTCCCAGCTGGGCTGGGTGATCTTGAGCAAGATCTACGGCCTCTCTGACCCTCGGTCTCCTCACCTCTGAAATGGGGGAAACATGGCTCTTCCAATAGGGTATTATAAGAGAGGCCTGGCAAAACCTGGCAGCAAAGGCGTGAGCCCAGCAGGCACTGGGAGTGGAGGTGGAGGCCATCGCTCCACTGGGCCCTGAGGCCCCTGTTGAAGGGTCACAGATTTTCCTTTTCCAGCTCACCCCACCCAAGAGAGGTTTGATGTGCCCCCAGCATCAGTCACATGTGCATAGCAAGCTGGAGCTCCTCTTGTGGTGTGCTGTGAACAGGGGTCCTTGGAACTCCCTGCAAAGGAAGTTGGGGTGCAGGGTGACTCAGGTTGGTCTGCTGGGGAAGATGTGAGGTCAGGGCTGTGCTGGGGAAAACCCAGAGAGTCTGTGTGAGCCCAGAGTGGGCATCTGACCACATGCGAGTGGGTGGAAGGGAAGACTTCCTGGAGGAGGTGCCATTTGAGCTAGACTGAGAGTAAAAACATTGCCCAGAAAGGGCAATCCCGTCATGGAGAGCACAGCATGGGGTTGAGCAAGAAGCTTCCAGCAGTTGGAGTGGGGTTGGGGGGAGGGCTGGCCAGCAGGGGCGTCCAGGATGAAGAGCCTGGCCTTTGGCCCACATGCGCCTCCCCCACCCCTCCCAGGAGCGGGCCAGGCTGGAGCGGCTGCCACCACAGCAGCCACAATTGTGGGGGGAGAACTTGGCATCCTGTGTTTCTTTGAATCGCGGCTCCAGGAACAATGCCGCTTCCTGTGGGTGTCCCCCCACCCCCACCCTCATCCACCCTGCTGCCCTGCTCTTCCTCCTCCAGCCAGCAGGGAAGTTGGGGGGCTCTGGGGGATCTGGGTCCTTGGAAAGCTGGAGCTCGGCTCGTCTAGCACCACCTCGGCTCCAGAGTATGACCAAGGGCTGATGCCTGCACCTCTCTGGGCCTCGGTTTCCCCACTTGTACCTTGGATGGTAATGGCGTCCACCCCTGAGGGCCACTAGGGAGAGAAAAGAAGAGAATCTGTCTCCGCTTTGCTCTCTACGCAGGTGAGCTCTATTATGCCCATTTTATAGAACAGGAAACTGAGACTCTTAGGGTGGGTGAGGCCCGTGGTGGGGTAGCCCCTTTGCCCTCTTTTCCTGGTTGCTCTGTTGTGGGGAGACAGGGCCTGGCATCCCCACAGCTCCACCCTCTTAGATGCTGTTCTCCTGGAGGCTTCCCTGCTTCCCAAGCTGAACAAAGGTGACTTTAATCTGTAGCCTGGGGCCGGGTTTTTAGGGCACACCAAAGCGCGGGAGAACAGGCCTCCCTTGATCTCATTAAGAAAGCATTTTCCTTTTAATCCAGCGGCAGCAGCGGAGCGGAGCGTCTGCACGGGCCGGCCCTCTGCCTCCCACAGCATTCCTGGGCTGAGATTGGGGAGCGGGCGGGGGGCTGGGTGCGAGTCTGTGCGTGCGGCCGCCCTGGGGTGTCTGCCGGGCTCTGCAGGAGGGGTGTGTGCAGAGAAGGTGTAGAGGGAGCCTGCCACCCTCTAGCTCTGGGCCCATGATCCCCAGCTCATGGCCTCACCCGAGACTGTGCCTAGGGCTGAGGCTGCCCAGGTGAGGGTGAGGCCTCTCTTGGCCTGGGGTGGGTTTCCCTGGCCCCTGGGTATGTACTGTGCTCCAGGCCTGCACATGCCTCCAGGCCGCCCGTTGGACCTATTTGAACATGGATGGAAACTGAGGCTGGGTGTAGGTGGGTGCCCTGCTGCCTTTGCTCAGAGCATCCCCCACCCGCCCCAGGCTCTGCGCTCAGCCATGCCAGGGTGCGCCGGGCGGCACGCGCTGGGCGGGCCGGGCAGAGGAAGGAACATTCCTCCCCAAGTGCCGACAGGCCCAGGCGGGCGCCAGAGGCTCCTGTCCCCGCCCCGTCAGCCCCCTCCTCTTCCGCAGAGCGATCCTGGCAGGGGGTGGCCTCTTGCTGGCACAGGTGGAGCCTTGCCCTGTGCTGTGGCCCTGGGCAAGGTCCGTCTGCGACCATGTTTTCTTGCCGAAGCAGCAGGAGGGGCTGGGCTGCGTGGGTGCCATGGGCCCTGATCTGTGGGCTGGGGACACCTGCGGTTTCCTGCCACAATCCTGCTGACCATCGGTTAGAGGACTTCAGGCTGCTTTGGCTCAGAGAGGGTAACCTGCCTGGCTGGCCACACAGCGGAGCCTGGGGGCTGGCCTAAAGGCCCAGGCTGGAGGGCTGCAGTGCTGGTGGCTGCACCCTGCCCGAGGGACCTCGTGCCCAAGCCGGCCCAGTTAACCAAGCCAGCTGTATGGTAATGGGCAGCATGGCCACTCCCGCTTAACTCGGCCGAGTTAAGGCCGGCCCCGCGCCCCTCTCCCAGCGGCCCAGGACAAAGCTGGCAGACAATGCCTGGTGATTCATCCTCTCTCCCGGCCCTTTGTCCGCCAGGGCTTGGCAGCCGCCCAGCAAAGGCCTTTGTCCCCGACCCGAGTGATTGAGACTTGGCTTACCAAAGCCGACCTTCTCTGCCTGTCCCCCCACCCGTCCCACCCGCTCCTGCAGCCTCCAAGTGGCAGGCTGGGCGCTGTGTCAATAAGGGTGTGTGCCCTGCCAGGTGCACGGGGCAGGCCGGGAATCGGTTACCTGGCGGGTGGGTGAGGCACCCCACCTGGCTCGTGCCTGGGTGACCTTGGGCCCAGCTGTGGAGGTTGGGAGGGAGGCCCCGCCTCCTGAGGGCAAGTTCTGTATGCACCTCCAGCCCAGCCTGCTCTGCACGTGGGGAAACGGAGGCCCGGAGAAGGGTGGAGAATAGGTGCATGAGCTCCAGCTATGGAAACTCCAGGGTGCCTGGCCCCGCCCCCTTGTCCCTCGATGGGGACACAGAGCTGCCTGTTCAGGACCACTTTTCTCCTTCCAGACGTTCATCTTCACGGATGGGGAGGATGAAGCCCTGGCCAGGCACACGGGTGAGCCCTGGACTTGGGGCGGGAGGGGCGCGGCCTCAATCCCAGCAAAACCCTCCCTGTGCCCCTCCCCCGACTGGGGGCGGCGGGGTCGCGGGCAGCCGGCCTGGGAGGGCAGTTTACTCAACAGGTTTGCTCAACGCCCCGCCCCACCACTCCAGGCCCCCCAATTCTCATGCAAATGAGGCTCATTCAGCCCCCGGGTCCCTTTGAGCCCCAGCGGCAGCAACAGGTGGCGGGTGCTGGGAAAAAGCTGTGTGAATGGGCCAGGGCGGGGCCCCTGGGAGGGGGCTGGGCTGGGGGAGGGTCAGCTGGCCTGGGCCCTTGTGGGTAAGGCTTGAACCCAGGGGGCTTTTCTTGAGCCGCTGGAGCTCTTCTGTGTCCCCAGGCCAGGCCCCTCTCTGAGCCAGCTCAGACCCACTTACAGCCCCTCCCCTGCCCCCAGGCAACGTGGTCAACACGAACTGCTCGGCTGCCCACAGCCGCCAGGCCTTGTCCTGCAAGATGGCCGTGGAATACGACCACTTCATCGAGTCAGGGAGGAAGTGAGTGTGGCCCATGGAGACCCCCTCCACGCTCCTGCCCCGGCAGCCCCTGCACCCCCCTCATGCCCTCCCCATGGCCCTGCCCTCAGGTGGTTCTGCCACGTGGACGACGACAATTATGTCAACCTGCGGGCTCTGCTGCGGCTGCTGGCCAGCTACCCGCACACCCAGGATGTCTACATCGGCAAACCCAGCCTGGACCGGCCCATCCAGGCCACTGAGCGGGTCAGCGAGAACAAGGTGGTGAGTGCCCGCCCTCCCCGCCCCATGTCACACACACACACCCATGCACAGAGTGGGAGGGGCCGAAGGCAGCCCCGTGGCCTGGACGTGGTAGGGGGTCCCAGTCCCCTCTCTCACAACATCTCCCCTCTCTCAGCGTCCTGTCAACTTCTGGTTTGCCACGGGTGGGGCTGGCTTCTGCATCAGCCGTGGGCTGGCCCTGAAGATGAGCCCGTGGGCCAGGTGAGTGCCCTGCACAGGTGAGGCTGCCAACCAGCCAACCAGGTTGCCCCAGGTCCCAAGGTCCCCTCACTGTGGGGGCCTGGCTTGGCTTGGTCCCCAGCCTCCTGCGAGGTGCTGCCCCCTCCTGCCTGCCTTCCCCTTCCCACCCTCTGAGTTTCAGGGGCAGCTGTGTTTATAGCAGCTGTCCTGAGTCTGACCTGCTGAGAGCAGCACCCCAGGCAGGAGCCCTTCCTCACCTGGCACCCTACTCAGCGCCCTCGAGCCCTGGCTGGTGCAGGGGAGCATGCTGCTGCAGGGACCCTGCTCCTGGGGTACGGCCACCTCATCTCTGGGCCAGCGCCTTCTCCGTATGGGATGCTTGGTGGGGCCTGCGCAGCTCCCATGGGCGGCTCCTGCCCCGGCTCACTGTACGGGACCTTCCCTCCTGCAGCGGGGGCCACTTCATGAGCACTGCCGAGCGGATCCGGCTCCCCGACGACTGCACCATCGGCTACATTGTGGAGGCCCTGCTGGGCGTGCCGCTCATCCGCAGCGGCCTCTTCCACTCCCACCTGGAGAACCTCCAGCAGGTGCCTGCCTCCAAGCTCCATGAGCAGGTACGCCGCCCCGGGGCCCGGCCTGGACTCAGATGCGTGTGGGAAGCGGGAGGCGGGGACCAATCAGGGCGGCCAGGGAGACCTCACTGTCAGTGGCCATCAGGTACCTGCCTCCCCCAGCAGGGTGGCCACCGGCCACAGCGTGCCGTCTGTCCTCCCCGTGTTCCTCTGAAGTGTGACGCATCTATCCTGGGTCTTTTGGGTCCTTTCCCGAATCAGCAGAGGTTCTCCTGTGCACGACTGGCGACTCGACCAGCCCCACCTGTCGCCACGGTGTTGGACTTTTATTCCCGGGTGTGCAGAGCAGGTGTCTCTCTAGGTCTGAGGAAGGGCAAGGCAGGGCTGTCACCTCATTCAGGGCCATGTGGCCAGCTTTGGACACAGCCCGGGAACACTGGGGTCCCTCCCGGCATCACTCCACCCCTCTCCCCACAGGTGACCCTGAGCTATGGCATGTTTGAAAACAAGCGGAACGCTGTCCACATGAAGGGTCCATTCTCGGTGGAGGCTGACCCATCCAGGTGAGGAAACCAAGGCCAGAAGGGCTTGCGAAGGTTCCTAGGGGGTGGGCAGGATTGGGGCTGGGTGTCCTGAGCAGCATGACTGCATAGAGGTACCCCCAGAGTCCTTGCTCAGGGTGCGGTGGGACCCACCCCCAGTGTTGTGGGCCTACAGACAAGTGCTTTGTACCCCACCCCACACAGACCAGCCCCCTACTCTGTCCCTACAGGTTCCGCTCCATCCACTGCCATCTGTACCCGGACACACCCTGGTGTCCCCGCACTGCCATCTTCTAGCAGCCATAGCTGAGACCCCATCCCTGGGTGCCCCTGGTATCCAAAGGGCCCAGGGACCCTGTCGTACCGCCCTTGCCTCGGCATTCGAGGCTCTCCCAGGGCTGTGACTGCACACACGTGTATGTGTATTGTGTGCCCGCCTGTGTAGCAGACTGCTGGTCAGTTCTGCTCTGCAGGGGCCAGCAGAAGTGCCACTTGTCTGTGTCCCTGTGCTCTGAGGCTTCATGGGCTTCAGAAGGATTTGGATGTTGGAAGTCACTCTGAGGGCAGTTCTGTTAATATTTTTGGATCTTTTTGCAGCCCGGAGTGCTGGGCTACCCTGCAGGGACACGTAGGTGCCTTTCTCTCCCTGCTGGTCACCGGCTGTGCGCTGCAGTGCCTGTGCCGGAGATCCTGGCCCCTGCCTGGAGCCCCCAGCACAGCTGCGCCTTGCTCAGTGCAGAGGAGGCTGGTTTTGGGGGTACCTGGTCCCAGCCCCCGCCCCGGTAAGCTCTGGCCTGGGCACGGTGGCTCAGGAACAGTAGACACTGCTCAGTCCCTGGTTCCCGGGGCTGCCCCATGAAGCCCCTGGTGGCCGTCAGCTGGGTGACCAGTGGCTCCCCTCCCAGCCTTCCTGGCGGGGGAGGGGGGGTCTTCTCTTTGTCTCCCCAGCATTGGGTGAGTCAGAGCCGAGCATTTTATCTCCTCTCCAAAGTAGAGAGAACGTCGCCCACAGTGGGCGTGTCTGTAAATATTGTGACAGTATTTTTTTTACTGTGCCTTTTTTTTTTTGAAAGGGGGTGGGTAAAAAGTAGGGTGTTTTTGTGTTTTCAGGGGGTGGGAGAGGGTCTTATTTTATCTTTTCTGTGGATCAGAAAAAGCAGAAGCCAAATTTGGGATGGTCTTTGTTGTCAAAGCTGAAGTGGCCGTGTGTGACGCTCTACGTATTTATGTTCCAGTATCTGGAATCTCCCCCCTGCCCCGTGCAGCCGCCATCCCCGCCGGGCCCAGCTCGGCTCACCTGTCCCGTCTGGGGCGTTTTGTGTTCTGTTTCTCTCTTTGCAAAGACATAGCTAGGAAAGCCAGTGATAAGGGAATGTTCTCAGGGAATTGAAGTGTTGTTGCTATTGTGACGTCCTTTGCTGTGAATAAAGGTGCTCTTTGCAGCGACCTCGGTCCTGTTCTTGTCTGAAAGTGGGGCCTGAGCCCCAGGTCCATCGGAGGTGGCTCCAGGGGTGCCGGGGCACACAGGTGAGGGGGAGGCTCAGCCTTGTGTGCACCTCGTGGCATAGGCGTGTAGAAAACCCTCCAAGGCAACTATTGTGGAAGGAAACGGTGTCAGAACAGCTATGGCTGGTGCCTGAGAGCTGGGCTAGGCGGGCACTGTGCTTCCCCAGGAACAAGTGGGGGCTACTGGGGGCTACATCCCAGCCGGGAGAGCAGCCCCCAGGCTCTGGAGCCACAGCCTGGCTGGGGAGTCTGGCCCCTGCAGGAGGGACAGTAACTACAGCAGCAGCCTGGGACCTCCTTACCCAGCTCTAACTCTGTCACGAGCCCATGGAGTCCACAGCCTTGTCTCATTTTGCAAATGGGGAAACTGAGGCTCAGAGCGTGTGCTGCCTGTGGGCAGGAGGAACTCAGACTCAGAGGCCGGGCGGGCCATGGATCCCACCCCCCATGTGCTGGTCACGCTGCCTTCCACCCTCTTCCCTGAAACGTCTTGACACCCTGACTCAGCTCATGGAGGGGGGCTCCTGAGACGTGGGCAGTGCCCAGGTGCCTGCGGCCCCAGCCCTTACTTCAGCAGGTCCTAGGACCCTGGGCTAAGAGTCTGACCTTGTCTCCCTCAAATCCAGCCTTTGCTTGTAGACTGAGTCAGGGAGGGCAGAGGTGGCCCCCAGCAGGGGTTCCCTCCCCACCTCCTTCCCTGCAGCCCCAGGGCCTCACTTCCTCTTTTCCAAACCAGAGCCCAGCCCTTCCTATACCAGCTCAGCCAGGCCTGCGCCCACGCACACACACGCTTAGCGCCCACATGGCTGGGGAGGGCCCCTTCCTCACAGCCCTAGCTGGTGGCCGCCCTGGCCTTGGGGGTGGCTGGCAGGGCCTGGTCCCCGCTTAGCCTTGGACAGGCCTGAGTCAGCAGAGCAGCTTCCTGGGGGTGGGGGAGTGAGGCCATGACTGGGGTGGTGGGAGGGACAAGGGACCCTCACCCTCCCTTGGCCTGACCCCTGTCGAGGGGGCACCTCCAGACTCGGCTTCTGTCCTCCCTCAGCACCCTCTGCGTGCTGACCACTCAGGGTGGCGCATGGCCCAGCTTCTGGGTGGCGAAGCTGAAATTGCTGGGGCGGGGGTCACAGTGGAACAGGCTGCGGGCAGAGGTTGTGGGCCTCCTTCCTGCCTGGGTGAGTCAGAGGCTTGGTGCCTTCTGCCCTGGTCCCCATGCCGTCCCCTGCAGCTAGTATCACCTCCAGACAGAGTTGGAGGGGCCCTGGGCAGAGGCCTGGCTGTCCCAGTGGTCGGGACAGCCCCTGCAGGCACAGCTGTGTGGCCCCTACTGGGGCAGGTGGAGTCCACGTCAGCATTGGGCCATCGGTCATCACAGGTCATCACAGCTTGTCCACATGTCCCAGTGGGAGGGGAACGGCAGGGGAGGGGTGGAGGTGCTGAGTGGGTGCAGAGGAGCTGGCAGGAGGAAGCCTCAGCTGCCATCTAAGGACTGGGGAGAAAATGCTCTGGGCCTGGGCGGTCCTGGGTGGGTTAGGGTTAGGGCAGCACCTGGCCCTTTCCTCCGCCAAGCTGAGGGAGGGAAGTTTCTCGCCCCAAGAAGGGGAAGCGGGTCCAGCAGGGCCTTAGGGGAACCGGCAGCCTGATCACTTCCACCCGCCGCCTTCAGGGGTAGGAGGAAGGCCCCCCCCACCCAGAGGGTGAGTCACCCAGGCAGGAGAGGTGAACTCATTTCTCCCCCAGGCACATTCTGGGGACAGCTGTGCCCCACCCACTGACAGTGTCATCACCCCCCCCAACCCACACACCGGACTAGGGGCTGAGCAGAAAGGGCCCTCCTCGCTGGCCCTGGGGGGCCCCATGTTCCCCAGTCTGGTCCAGCCAGGTGCCCCCGACAAACTGCCGCTCATTTTTGGAGCTTTCAAAACTCACAAGTAAAACTGCAGCTGCCGAGGCTGCTGGGTGGGCAGCGAGAGTGGCAGCCTCAGCCCTGGCTACCCCGGCCAGAGCGGAGGCTGGCCTAGGTGGGGAGAGGGCTGCTAGGGTGGGTCCCCTCCTCCCTCGGTTTAAAGGAACTTCCCCTCTGAGGTCCTCAGGGCGGGCTTCCTGGGTGAGGCACCTCAGTTGGAGGGGTGTCCCAGGACCAGCCTGGGCACAGGTGCAGAGGGGGGACCAGTGGGGAGGCTGGGAGGTAGGATGAGCATAGGGGCGGGTCCCCACGATTCCCCCTCCCCCACACACACCAGCAGGCAACCAGGCCTTTCCCCAGGCTCTGGTGCTGGGCCTGGGGTCAGAGGGGAGGCAGGGGCCAGGGCCAGAGCTGTCATGGGCTAGTTCTGTTGCCACCTGGGCCTGTCTGCCCTCCCCAGCCCCACTCTCAGAGCCCAGGTTGGACACACAAGGCAGTCGGGGCATGACTAGAGGGACCCAGAGGCGGGGAGGCTGGAGCCTGGAGGCTGCCCAGACGACGCTGCCACGCAGAGTTTGGGGGATCACATCTGTGCTGCCCCGGCTGTCTAGGTCTCCGGGACCCACTTCTGCTCCATGCACGGCCCACACAGTCCTCGGGCGCCGGCTGGTGGCCACAGTGGTGGTTTCTCTCCCCTTCCGAGTCCCACCTTTTCCTGGCACCCTCGCCGGATCTGGGGGTGCAGCCCCAAATGGTCTGGGGAAGGGTCTTCGGCAGCCCTGTGCCTGTGACGTCAGGACTGATGTGTGATTCCTGCAATGTGGATGATGTCGCGTGGAGCTCGAGTCAGTTTCCTGCGGAAGGAAGCCCGGGCCTCCCGCGGCCACTGCCTGCGCCCGGCCCAGGAGCACGGCGTTGCAGCACCCCTCCCGCTCTGACACCGCAGGTCGCAGCCCGTCTCCACGGCAGCCACCGGGCACTGGGGAGCTCTGGGGTTGGAGGAGCCCACTGTTCTCCTCCTCCTCCTCCTCCTCCTCTACCCTGCCCCCAGCGCCCCCTGCTGGGCACCTGCAGTCCCCTGTCCCAGCAAGATTTCTGCTCCAGCTCCCAGGCATCCTATCCCGCACTGCTCCTGGGTCCATCCTTGGTGACCTTGGCATTCCCTTCAAACACCCTGCCCTCACCCCTCCTGTGTCCTGACTCTCACCCCCCAAGTCCCCCTCCCGGGATGTCCTCACCTAACTGGAATCCCATGGGCCTGATCTCACCTTTAACGTTCTCTCTTGGTCAAGCTGCAACCGTGATCTGGTTATACCCGCCTTCTGCCTGCTCTGCACCAACCCCGGAGCACAGCCGCAGAAAACCCGCTTCACACGCCCCCACCCCAGCCCCAGTCTCACTTTGAGTTCCAGACCACAGGCCTCAGGTGGTCCTTGGGGAGTCCCCTGTCCCTCACCAGCAGCTCACGCCTCCTGCCCAGCCTCACGACATGCCAACGACCTGGCCTCCTAGTTCATGAGACCCTCTGGGACCCAGCCCCTCGTCTCGTCCCCCCAGCTCCTGCTGCAGCCAGCCCTTCACCGTGCCTGGGGCCGCAGCCCCACCATCAACTCTCCTCTCTCCTCCCCTATCCCTTCTCCTCTCTCTGCTGCCCACCAGCCTAACACACACGCACGTGCGCACACACTCGAGCACATGTGCACACACCCCACTTCTCTGGACCACGCCCCCTCCAGCCATCGCCCTGTTTTTCTGCTTTGCAGCCGAGCGCCCCAGAGGCCTTCATTCTTACTGTGCCGATCCCTCCTGCCCCACCCTGTCCTGGACCAATTGCTGGGCTTTCTAGGCACTTGTGGTCACCAAGCCTTCACGTGGCTTCCATGATGCCCACTCCCCTGGCCTCCCTGCCTCGCTGTTATGCTCCCCTCCCCTCCCCTCCACAGCCCCCTTGTCCCAGACCCTGAACACTGGGGCCCCACCCAGTCCTTGGTCCTCCTGTCTTCTTTTTGACACCCACTTCCTGGGTGATCTCACCCAGGCTAGCGGCTTTAAACACCACACTGCTGGGAGAAGCAGCTCACACCTATAATCTCAGCCACTCAGGAGGCTGAGGCAGGAGGACCGCTTGAGGCCATGGGCCCAAGGTTGCAGTGAGCCATGATCACGCCCCTGCACTCCAGCCTGGGTGACAGAGCGAGACCTGTCTCCAGCCCAGCCCTCTCCCCAGACCCCAGACTTGCACACCCCATCGCCTCCCCACAGCCTGTGATGGCCGAGAGACACCTGAGGCTCACCATGTCCCAAACTGGCCCTCTGACCTCCCCCGCCCCAAACCTGCACCCTCCCAACTGTCCCATCTCAATTTATGACAATAGCATTCCCCCAGCTGCTCAGCCCCAACCCACACCATGCCCAGTCTGGAAGAAGTCCTGTTGGCGTTAACCTTCCAGAACCCAACCCCTTCCCATCACTGCCCCACCCCAGCCTGGCTGCCATCAGCTCTCACCTGCAGTAGCTCCCTAACTGGTCTCTCACGTGGGCCCTGTCCCCTTCCCAATTCAGCCAGGGTGATCTTGTTTGAATGTTAGGTCATGAGACACTGCTCAGACCCGCCCCTCCCTCGGGATAAATCTCAGAGTCGTTATGGGGCCCACAAGCCCTGTGTGACCCCCAGCCATCCTCACCCCCTTGCTTGAACACACCAAGCATGTATCTGCCTCAGGGCCTTTGCATGTGCTGATCTCTCTGCCTGGAACCCTCTTTTCCTCAGATAGCCACAGGACTAGCTTCCCACGGAAGGCAGAATAATGGCTCTCAAAGATGTCCCTGTCCTAATTCCCAGACCTGTCTGTGACCAAGTCACTTTACACGGCAAAAGAGACTTTGCAGATAGGGGTTAATTAGGGATCTTGAGATGGAAAGATTATTCCAAATTGTCCAGTGTCATCACAAAGGACCTCATGAGAGGGAGGCGGAAGAGTTGCAGTCAGAAAGAGCTCTGAGGGTTTCTGCTGCTGACTCGAGCTGGAGGAGGGCCCCGGAGCCAAGGAATGTGGCTCCCGAAGCTAGAAAGGCGAGGACATGGGCTCTTCCCAGACTCTGTCCCTGCAGCCTCCAGGAGGCACGCCGCCCTGCCAACACCTGACTTTAGCCCAGGGAGACTTTGCCCCACAGAACTATAAGAGCATAAATGTGTCTTGCACCCATTGTGTGTGCAGTGATTTGTCACCACGGCAGTGGGGACCTCGCATGCTTCCCAATCTCCCACAATCTCTCCTTGGCAGCCAGTTGTTCAGGGAGACTTCTGACTGCTGAAAATTGCACCTGGCCCCCACCAGGCCCCGCCCTCCCAAGCCCTTTACCCTGGTCCCTTTTCTGCGCCACCTGCCACCTTCTCACGTCCTCCCACTGGAGCACGGGCTTCCCGAGGCAGAGCTCTGTGTCCTGTCTGTGGCTGTGCTCCAGCACCTAGAACAGTGCCTGGGCTTAAACACACTGGGCACACAAATGGATCGTATGCCACTGCGTTAGGATCAGGGTGTCCCTGATACTGACACAGGGGCTGAGTCTGAGAGGGGAGGGGTGGACTGGAGGTCTTTCCCTTGAGGCCCCTCACTCTCACTCCAAGCCTGGGGCTCTCTTGCCTTCTTGGGCTCCTAGGCCAGGCCCAAACGTCCCCAGTTCACTGTCCTTATCACTGACACTCTGGAAGCCTCAAAGGTCGCCACCCTTGGGAGCTCAGCGGCCCTCCTCCAGAGCTCACCTGTCCTGGTCCCTTCCCAGAGTGGCCACAGTTAAATCAAAAAGTGCTGTACAAGGCTGTTGGCATGTGCTGGGGCAGGAGAGACCCCCTGGGGCCCACATGTGCCCCATGTGCAGGGAAAGCTGGGAGCTGCAGAGTCCGGGGACTTGTGCTGGGCCTGGCAGGTCCCTGACCCACCTGTGTTCTGGGCCTGTGCACCCAGGCTTGGAGGACGAATGCTTCCCCGGTCAAAAGGGGCCTCCTACCCCCATCGCGGCCTTCAGGAGTCCTAAACGCTCCTGTGGGGTGCGTGGTGTTACCTGCAGGGCTGTGTGGGGATGGCTTCACCTTCCTGAGCTGGAGCTCTCCAGGACAGGCCGAGAGCCCCCTAACCGCGGCCTGGTGTGGCCGGAGTTGGGACTAAGCGCTCCGACCTGGCCTCTGGCCTCCCCCGCCCCGGCGCCTCCCTCTCCTCTGCACAGCGACCCCCGCAGTGCACGTCCCGACCGCAGAGCCAGGCTTCTACCGCGCGCTGGCCCCAAACCCCGGGACTGGACAGCGCAACGCAGGACAGGCCCCGCCCCGGCCCACGAGGCCCCACCCCCAGCTGCGCAGACCCCGCCCCCAGCCGCGCAGACCCCGCAGAAGAGGCTGGGCGGGAGCCAAAACAGGGCAGGAAAAGAGGCCTGTTTTTTAAAACTTGTTTATTTTAAAACATGAAACCCAAGCTGAATAGAAACCACAGAAATTACATTGACGAGATTTTTAGTATTTGCCAAGAAAAATAAAGCCCCCAAAGAAATAAAAATCAACCCCCAAACCCAGTTCTAAAAAACAAAAACAAAAACACAGCGACAGTACATACAGCCATGGACCTACGGAGGCTGGAGGGGAAAATGCAAAAATGGTTCAGGCCTCAGTGCTGCCCCGCTGTCAAGTCCGCTGGGTGGGGGGTGGTGAGATGCCAGGG